TTTGTACGTAACTTTACCGACTTCGCACGAGACATACGTCACATGCTTTGCACGTATAATCAGCGACTTTGCACGTAAGTTTACCGACTTTGCACGAGTCATACGTCACATGCCTTGCACGTAAATTCACCGACTTTGCACGTAACTTTACCGACTTTGTACGTAAGTTTACCGACTTTGCACGAGTCATACGTCACATGCCTTGCACGTAAATTCACCAACTTTGTACGTAACTTTACCGACTTTGCACGTAGCATTACGGACTTTACACGTAACATTACTACTTTTGCATGTAACTTTACCGACTTTGCACGTAACTTTACCGACTTTGCACGTCACTTTACCGACTTTGTACGTAAGTTTACCGACTTTGCACGAGTCATACGTCACATGCCTTGCACGTAAATTCACCAACTTTGTACGTAACTTTACCGACTTTGCACGTAACTTCACCGATTTTGCACGAGACATACGTCACATGCCTTGCACGTAAATTCACCGACTTTGTACGTAACTTTACCGACTTTGCACGTAGAATTACGGACTTTGCACGTAGCATTACCAACTTTGCTCGTAAGTTTACAGAATTTGCACGTAGCTTTACCGACTTTGCACGTAACTTTACCGACTTTGCACGTAGCATTACGGACTTTGCACGTAACATTACCAACTTTGCACGTAACTTTACTGACTTTGCACGTAGCATTACGGACTTTACACGTAACATTACTACTTTTGCATGTAACTTTACCGACTTTGCACGTAACTTTACCGACTTTGCACGTAACTTTTTCCCCTTTTCCTAGAACATCACTGACCTTGCACACAATTTTTCGGACTTTGCACGTAACATTACAAACTTTGCACGTAACTTTACCGACTTTGCACGTAACTTTACCGACTTTGCACGTAGCATTACGGACTTTACACGTAACATTACCAACTTTGCATGTAACTTTACGGACTTTGCACGTAACTTTACTGACTTTGTACGTGTTTTTTACGGCTTTGCACGTAACTTTACCGACTTTGCACATAGCATTACCGACTTTGCACGTAACTCAACCCCCTTTGCACGTAACTTTACCGACTTTGCACGTAGCATTACGAATTTTGAACGCAACATTACCAACTTTGCACGTAACTTTACCGACTTTGCTCGTAACTTTACCGACTTTGCACGTAGCATTACGGACTTTGCACGTAACATTACCAACTTTGCACGTAACTGTACCGACTTTGCACGTAACTTTCCTGACTATTCCTAGAGCATCACTGACCTTTCACACAACCTTACGGACTTTGCACGTAGCATTACTAACTTTGCACACAACTTTACTGACTTTGCACGTAACTTACCGACTTTGCACGTAACTCAACCCCCTTTGCACGTAACTTTACCGACTTTGCACGTAGCATTACAAGTTTTACACGTAACA